GACGGATAAAAACTCGGACTAGTCGTGGACGAGTAGTTTTTGAGACAAAGACTAGACGGGACGGGTCGACTTGACTAGAAAAAAGACTAGTCATTTAACCAGTCTTTTGCTCACTTGGGGTATTATCTCAATCGTTTATTTATTCTTAAATATTGATGTCCTGATACGTTTTCTATTTCAAGGATCTAATTATATCAGATCAAATCAAAGTTCTCTTCATTCTTATAAACATCAAGAAAAACATATACAGCAACAATCATCAAAGAATTTTCTCAACAATTGGAAACAAGTCTACATCAACAATTATCAAAGAATTTTCTCAACAATTGGAAACAAGTCTACATCAACAATTATCAAAGAATTTTCTCAACAATTGGAAACAAGTCTATATCAACAATAAGGGACTCCATTATCTTATCTAAACATATATCGAACACGAAAAGAATTCAAACTAATGAAATCGATTCAACATAGGCTAAAGAAAGGAAACTACATTCTTCGCGAAACAGATAAAAGTGGAATTTTTCATATTGGCAATTCAGTTGATTACGAAAAGAAAGCAGAAGCTTATCGATAAAAAACGGGCGCTTATATTGAATTAGATTCTAATCCGTTATGGAGTGTATTTGATAAAGTTATTCTTTTACTCAATGATCTTCGTTCTAAAAAATATATTTCATCGTGGCAACTAGATAAAATGATGCTGAAGCGAGAAACAGTTCAGTTAGCTTATTTATATTTCATTCCTAAACCTCACAAGGTAATTCATTTCTAATTTTTCTTACTTATCTCTCTTACACGCATTTTACTAGGCAGGAACACCATTGAGACCAATTGTAACGCCAATGAATATGCCAACGACAGGAATTTCAAAGTTTTTGGACAAATTAATACAACCGATATTTGATAAACATGCGCGTTCAACCACAATAATTGATGGAGTTGATTTGATTCATCGTTTAGAAGCATACACAACAAATGGGCATCTCATTTCAAAAACTTATTTGTGTACGTTTGATATTACAGATTTATATGCGATGTTACCACAAGAAGAATCACTTGATATTCTAATTGAATTTCTCCTTCAATATGACTATCAAAAAGTTCAAAATATTCCAATTGATATAATTCGAAAGTTAGCTCTTATCGTCATTAAAGAAAACGTTTTCGTTTATGAGAAGAAATTCTATCGACAAGTCATTGGTGGTGCGATGGGCTCAGCATTTACTTTAACACTAGCTAATATTTTCATGTGGAAATGGGAGAAACAACTTGTACACCGACTAAAATTATCCAATGAAATCTACGGGCGGTATTTAACATGGTTCATAAAATAATATTCTATGCATATAATGTCTCATTTTAGATATGTTGATGATATTTTCTTTACGTCGAACGACTCACTAGAATCTATCGACCAAATGTTAGATGAGGCTAATAACTTTCATCCTAACATTAAACTAGTGCGACAAATTGGTAGAAGTGTTCCATTTCTTGATGTACTCATTGAGAACAGAAAGGGCACTTTAACAATTTCAGTGTATCATAAAGAAGCAGCTGAGCCGTATGTCGTACCATTTGGATCAGATCACCCTGGTCATGTTTTCCGAAACACTGCTGACACTGCTATTACGAGAGCAGTTCGTTATTCAAGAACCTTATCTGAATTCGAAGAAGAAATACGACAAATGAAACTCATGTTTCTCTATAACGAGTATGTTCCCTGTATTCATTCATGTTTTTCACTCTTTCTATGTGACTTATAGGTACTCGCCAAGACATATCCATCGGCGGCTCACTACATTATTCAGTAAATATTTATTGAAAAACTTTATTTTGCCTATGCTCAATAACTGTGATGAATTCGGTTATTTACGCCATCAGTTATTGGCAACATCAAGAGCTACAACAGCCGATAAACTAATCAGAACTTCAACTACCAATCAAACTCCTTACAAAAACATGCAAAATCAGCTGCTACAACCTACAGACAACAACGAATTAATAAAAGGAAAAAGTCTCATAATTCATCATAGACATGAAAAACGACTCCGGAACACTCGCCGACAGATTCACGAACTATGGAACAGTGTTTTTCACGAAACAGAAGTTATCGATATTGCTCTTATGGTCGGAACATATCTCAATCAGAATTTGAAACAAGAATTGAGCGCAAGAATGATCAAGCATATTCAAAGTGCTGGAAGCAGTCAAGAGGGCCAAACGCGACGTCCGCCAGATAAGCAAACAGCGAATATTCAATCGAAACAAAGAAGTCATTAACATAGTATATTTCACATTCTGTGTTGTTATTGATGAATAAAAATAAACATAACTCTATTGAAAGAAAATATGAAAAGTAATACGAGATCGTTAACAATCTACGTTGTAAAAACCACATCCACTATAATTACCATATTAGCTGCATCCGTAGCAGAACAGTCAGGAACGTAAACATAAATAAATACCAAAAACGATTGACCTCAAAATCATCTCCTCAACCACATTCTCGAATCAACTATTCAATCGAGTCGATACACAAAGTGAAAACAGGAGAATCTCAATATCACAAAACAAATTTAAGAAAAATAGAAAACCGCCACTCATCAGAGACGCCAAGAGACACCAACTATTGTATCATCCTTCATTCCCACACGCCATGCATATAAATACAATTTCCAAACTCCCACAACTATCAAGAGCTCACCCCCAAAACCATTCTCAATCAATTTCAAATCATGAAATCCTCTCCGTAGCAATCTACAGTAAAAGATGTTCTCGGTTCTTTGAATCATGGAACAGTTACAAAGATGAAGCCATCTGATGAGTCCCTTAAGCAAGGACGAAACCAGTCATGGCTGCTAAATTTAAAAACACACCCACACCTTAATAATACCCATCTAAAATAAGATGACATTGATACATCGAGAAAAATATACAAAAGGTGGGTTCGATAACGGGGTTTTCTAACAACAATAATGACCATAGACTTCTTAGTCTTTCAGCAGCGAAGCGTGCAAAGAATAGTGAATACATATACACATCCTTTCTTTTTCCCAAGAACAATAGCTACATATGACCATTATATAATTCACCAAACCAATTCAGTATGTTGCGCGAGACAGTGTTCCAGCCAATCATTTTCAAGATACTAGCCTCTATAAAACAGAGAATTTTATAGTTTTACTACTCATTTCCACTATCTATCTGTATGACCTATCGCTCACGATTGAACTCTACACTATTTTTAAAAATCCTAACTCAATGTACAAGAAGAGGGTGCTACACTCAACAACTTAAAATATACTATATGAATAAATTGTTTTCTATGTTGAAAAACATACCATAATTCATTTCCAACATCCAGTATTTTTTCGTTCCGAACATCTGGACGGTTTTCATTCCAAACATCCGGAAAATCGATGTTATGTTTTATATATCCAATTTCGAACATCCGGTTATTTGACCGGATGCCCAGAAGAGCGGGGACGAAAAAGGGCAAACCCAAGTTACTAAAGTCATTTGCTGTTATCGTAAGAAAATTATGATTTCGAACGATTCGCAATTCTTTTGAATGGATTTTGATGGAAAATTAACTTCCGAACAATACAGAAACAGGAAAACGAACCCTTCTTCTATCTAGTTATTGAAATTTGCAACTGGTATTTATATCATACTTGAGATTCAACAAGAAAAAACAGCACGAGATATTTTTCTATAAAGTATAATAAAACTATCGTCTTGATTGCATTTCTTAAAGTGTAGTTATTCGAAACGATGGAACTAAGGGTCTTCATACATTCAAGGAGGAGAAGGACAAGAGACGTAGCTTTACGTACCACCTTTAAGATCGCCCAGCAGGTTTTTTTAACCGTTTATTTCATCCTGCTGTGCTTTAGTGATCAATTTTTCTTGAAAAATGATTAGGAAACTAATTGATGTCACCTAGAGAAACATTGCTACCAGTTTGAGCACGTCTGAGAGCGAAGCATTATACAGTTGAGTGAGAAAAAAAGAACTAAATATTACTAAATAAAAGTGAGATTTAAACTGTAAGACATGTACTTTCTCTTCATCTCAGTATACTCTAACAATCATTCACACTCTGCTACGCGTATAAATATATTCTCTATTTAAAACATCACTGTTCAAGAATTTTTCAAGTGCAGTTTATTTCGAAATACAGTTGAGAAAAAAATTTAAAACCATAACACACTCTTTTAGATTCTGACTTCAGCATCATGTTCATACACTATATGTCTAAGTAAAAGTTAGATCGAATGACATACGCTTGTCCTCTTTATCGTACAAAAAACAATGTTCGCATGATAGATTTGACCCATTATATTTCATGAAATCTTTCTTGACTTGCGCAATCTTTGTGCGTGGCGTTGCACCATCGACGTTGTATTCAACGTAGAATCTTTTCAACGTTGTTGGTAAATATTTCCTTACTAAATCATGATATTGTGTACCATCGAGAAACGGTGGTTGTCTTCTTGATACTGGAATTTTCACAGGAGGACGTTCACAAGCGAATAAGCTATAAGTCAATAAATTCTTGGAAGTAGTGAATTGGAGTAATCTTTCAATCGTTTCTACTGCTGTCAATGGATACTGATATACTTTGACGTGATGAAGTCCAGCAGGATATTCCATTGATGTTTTCTCGTTGATTAGACTTTTGTAATACCTAACTGCTTGTGGCGGTTGTGCTAGCTTGCCACGAAATCCTTCATTTTTATGCACGTCCATAGTGAACGAGTTTAAATTTTGAAATCGATAAAGTAATGGTATTAAACGTTTAATATCGAAGAGGGATATTGCTAAATTTATGATAGTATTATTAATCACATTCGAATGCATGTAAGTTATCGGATCGATGCCGTTTGAATGTTCTAATGTTAAATATTTTAACGATGGCATTTCAGTGAGTAGGTATGCGAATGATAGAGCAGCACGTTCACCAGGTTCTGTGCATTTCATATCACTGAATCGAATCTTGAAACTTATCAAATCATCTTTGAAATTATTCAATATCGCTGGTATTTGATTTTCGAATTCCTGAACTGGTAGGTCGAGTAAAGATATTGATTTAAATCGTTTTCTGCGAAGTGGTGTCATAAATGATGCTAATATGGAGATATTGTCATAGAATAATTCAACCGAAGTTACATTTTCCTCGCAGAATATCTGTTGAAATGTTTGAAAAAATTTCGTTTTTGTTCGGGATAAATCCAAATGAACATTGGGTGTGTTACAGACAAGTTGACTGAATCGACTATTGAGACCATAGAAAGATTTGCAAATTTCATTACCCGTTAGATAATCAAAAATATCAAAGATAATTTCATTTGATAAGTGTTCAAATATTGCTTCCGCTTCTATACGTCTCCGTTGAGCTGAACGTATCTTTTTTAAACTCGGCATTTTATTTTGTCACCTTATGTTCAGTATAATTCAAAACAAAGTGCTCTTTCTCAGCGACGCACGGTCGCCTTTTTATATGGCAGTATGAGTCATTGTATGTACACATGACTACGCATGAATATTTCTTTCCATACGTCAGCAGTCAGAATTTATCGTCTCTCTGCATCAGAATTTCTGCTAGGAGAAGGTGTGTTATTTATTGATTACCATGGTGAATTTTTTCACCAGAAATGTCATCAACTTTTTACAAAACATCAACACAATGGTTAGAATAAACGAGCACAACTGTGACTAGAAGGAGAACAAGAACTGGGTGTGGGTGTGGGTGTGGTTTAAAATGAAAAAATCGAATTAACAATGAACTAAAGTAAGAAAAATAAATGAATACTATATGAATAATATTAGAATCTAAATAAATTTTGTTTTTTATATATATTTAAGTATATCTTTAAGTTTTTTTGTTTTGTTTTAAGTTTACTTAATTGTTTTTGTAATGTTTTTTGAAGTTGAAATGAAAATACACTAGTTTTGAATAATATAAGTTTCAATACGACAATTAATAAGTTATGTGATAAATATGTTTTTTATATAATTTTTAAATGTTTTTATACTGTTTAAGTAAGTTTTATTCTTTTTGAATGTTTTTTTTGGTTCAAGAGATTTATCTTAAGTATTTTATGAATTATATAAGAGGTTAAAGAAAATGTAAATAAGTAAGTAAGCTTTAAGTAAATTTAAAGAAAAAATGTGAATAAATATGTAAATTTAAAGAAGATATGAATAAATATGTAAATCTAAAGAAATTATCAATAAATGTAATGTCTACGAAAAAGAAAAAGAAAAATAAGATATGAATAAATAAATAAATATGAATAAATATTTGAGTAAATATGAATAAGAGAAAAATAAATGTTTTTTGGAGAAATTTGGAGTTGAACGAGAAAATTGCATGAATAAATAAGTTTTGAACGAGTTTTTTTGAGCTTTTTAAGATTTATTTTAGTTTTTTTAGTTCTTTATTTGATTTTATTCGAGTTTAGCAAAAAATTATACGATACATTATAAATAACAAATGTGATGCGACGCGTTTCGAATACTTCTTTACGCTATATGACTGTCTAATCTATTCGCTCATCCTGAGGGTGTCGGTGTGGGTGTGTAGAAAGCTACCACGATGCGTTTCGACTCAGCTCAAGAGTCTCATCAGGTGGCTTCATCTCTCTAAGTCGATCTAAAATTTTTTGAACAAAATTCAAAGAATTTCAAATCAACTCGAGATCAATTTACTCTGTTCTACTTTCTTGTAGAATGGTAAGAGAAAAAACCTGTATAAACAGGGTGTGTAGAAAGCTACCACGACGCGTTTGGATTCAGCTCAAGAGTTTCATCAGGTGGCTTAGTATCTTTAATTTAATTCAGAAATTTTTAAAGAAAAGTTGAAATAAATACGTGTCAATGGTAGTCTGTTCTATTTCGAAAAGAAATTAGAATGATTGATTAATGAGTGAATCGTTTCGGTCCATTTTTATGAGTAATGAGTCGCTGGTTGACGATGCGAATAGGCTTTCTGATGTAGTAGATATGTTTTGTGTTCAAGATGATTTTTAATGTTGCGTTCTACGTAATGATTCACTAAGGCTGACATCAAAATATATGTTAGATGACTAAAAACATGATAATGTTTACATGCTTGCACTAAAATCGTCATGTCGGAGCCATGTTTGGCATGACGATGAGAATCGTTGAAGATGGATAAAGTGAATGTTAATTTCTCTCTATCTAGAACGGAAATTTTATAGAATAATCATCTTTTAAATGAAGAACATTTATTTGTAAAACTACTACAAAGAAACAATGTGTTTAAATTAAAATTAAAAAAAAGTGATGAAGTAGATTGTTTATTCGTTTGTTAGTATGAGAGGGGAAAGGAATTCATTTCTGTTTTCATGTTTGTAGATTGATTGGAAACGTATGATTGGGTGGCGAAATTCTATATGGATTGAATGCATCGGCGGATTGAGTTGAAAATCCATCTGTTTGTAGGTTAGTTGACATGCCATCGTCTTTAGGACTTTCGTTTTATTGTATCTGAAAAAGAAACAGTGGAATAGTAGAAAATGTCATGAATACATAAGAAAAGTCTTACTTGGAAGTTGTATCGGTTTCAAAAGCGATGGATGTGGTCTTTTTTCTACTAGTTCATGTCCAGTATTACGATGATTTCGATGTCCAACAATGAGTCGAATTTCCATGGCTGGTGTACCTTGAAAGGTTTCTGAATGAATCTTGTGTATGTCACGTTTTAGACTAGTCAGTCGTTTTTCATGTGTGTAATGAAGAAACAGTATTTGTGAACTTGTTTGGTTTCTTTTGTTTTGGTATGATTGTGAGTTTCGTCGTTTTTTCTCTAGTATGGTCATCGTTAGCCTCTGCATTTAAGCCAGCTGTAGCTATTCTGTGATTGATCTCTCGTTCTTTGACAGACGGTTGAGCCAATAAACTATTTCTCATTATGAAAGAATGACTTTCATTATCGAGGAATGGTATCATGGATGTTTGTGAAATTGAGTTAACGAAGAATTTTCGTATATGTGTATCGATATACCTGGATGGATACCTAATAGATATATATATATTAATAGAATGTGATAATTAATGAAAGAATGAATGTGTCTAACATAGAGAGACTTACCCATTATAGAGTAACATTAATCGAATAGCACGACGTTCGTTTTGAAAAATTTCCGATGTCGATGAATACCGTACAGCTCGAAGAAGAGCAGCATGAATAATATTCGAAAAGACATGAGGAGGATGATCAGAAATAAATGGTACAACACATGGTTCAGCTACTAGTTGGCGATAGACAGATGTGGATAGAATACTATTCTTATTGTTGATGAGAAGATCCAGAAATGGAACACAACTACCAATGGTAGCTTCTAATTTAATATTTGGATGAAAATCATTTGCTTTCTTAATGATTGCCTTGATTTTTATCTTGGCTTCATTGAACGTGAAGAAGATATCATCAATATAATTATATATATTGAGCTTTTAATTCTATATATAAGTCACAGATAAATATTCTTTTTTGATATCTTTGAATTTTGTCTTTGAATTTAATTTAATTTAATCATAGGGAATATTTGCCAACTGAAGAGCCCCTTAAGCAAGGACGAAACCGATCTTGGTAGCTGTTCACACCCCACACCCACACACACACCCTCGTATCTTCTTTCTCTCACCATTCTACTCAAAACGGCAAAGTTGAAAAATGTGTTTACTTTCACTTTTTCAAGCAACACACTTCTTATTTGTGGGCGATTCAGACAAAACCAATGCTTAAGAAACTCAACACACGTAAGTGCACTATCAATCTTCAGTCAAACTTTCTATTACGGTATCTTTCACAAAAACATACAACATCCTGAAGAAAGATTTCGCTCCTATAGCAAACTTTGATAAAAAGGCCAAATATCTTTGATTAAGAATGTTCATTTCTGATTGGTCAGCTCCTGGCCAATGAAGCCTTGGGCAAAGGAGTGGGCTTCGGATTCGGATTCAGATTCAAGGCCCTCAATAACCTATAGCACAGTTCAATACAACCGGCTAAATGTCTTTAATTAAGAAAGCTCATTTCGGATTGGTCACTTCCCGACCAATGAAAGCTCGGCCAAAGAAGTGGGCTTCGGATTCGGATTCAGCGCTGTCGATAACTTTCAGCAAAGTTCAATCAGGAGGGCCAAAAGTCTTAAAATAAGAAAGTTCGTTTTTGATTGGTCGACTCCCGACCAATGAGACGACGGCCGAAAAAATGGGCTCCGGATTCGGATTCAGAGCTGCCGATAACGTAGAGCGAAGCTCAATTAGAAGAGCCAAAAGTCTGAAGATATGCTAACCTCTAATAAATGTTTTTTTGACCCCAATCAAGCAACCAAGAAATCAAGCAAACAAACGCATTTTATTTCATATGACCCTCTCTGCAGTCGAGGGAAAAATATACATGTGTTTAAGTCATTCGATATCACTAAATGGCCTAGTTGGATTGAAAAAAAGCAAATAGGGGTTATATTTGATGTGAAAAAAATAGTACATCGTACATCGTACTTTGGACGAAGGCAATATTTTCTTGATATGTGGAATCATCATTTACCTCATTATGTTCGTATCTCAGGTAACCTCAGGTGATCAGGAAGAGAGAAAAAAACGCTATACCTAATTAACTATATCATGTATTGCTGTATCATCAAAAAAATAGGGTTACTGATTATACAACGTTGCATATATCTCTGCTTGCTTCGGTTGTTGATCGGATAGAAAGCAAAGGGGAAAAAAACGTACTTCATTGATTCAGTTGGCTACGAAACGATACATACACCAATATTTGTGTTTATGCATTATTTTATCTCACCTACGAAGCAAACGCTCACGAAAATAATATTCTGTCCTATCATAAAACGACACTAGTATCCACCTGACGATATTTTCATTGGACCATAGCTTTTTAGTTATCATCAAAGAATCAGAAGGGTTATGAGTGAAAGCAACGCCTCCTTCAATAATTTCTAAAGAGAACAGGTATGTGTTTTTTTCTGTCTCTCTCTCTCTCTCTCTCTATCACGCACACTGTTATAGTATATCTTCAGAAGCATATTTCAACTAAGTCACAAACAACTGATACACTGTAATTTACTGATTTGCCAATACAAACATCAAGCTATTAACAATGTGCGATACAAAGCTACTGTTTACTGTATGGTTAATTAGCATGGTGCTTTTTAATAAATTGGCTGGTCAAGTAATGCCCACGCCTGTGATTCATTCAATTTCGACAAAGCCATATGTAATCGACAAGACAAAGCACAAAATCACGCTCATCACAAGGTATGGTTCAGTCAAAAATGATATCATCACCATAGAATCCTATCCAATTAGATTTGGCAAGCAACGATCATCTGTAGTATTTTTCGTTGAAATGCTACTCTTGGAAGATCAGCAAATTTCTGATCAGAATGAATTACCAAATATCAACACTAATACATCATTAATAAAAGTAATATTAAAACCTACCTTAGATTGTGCCCCTCTCGGCTTGATTTTCTTTTCTCAGTTTTTAATAGATCGCATTGTATTGGTTTTTATTTTGTGCTCGTTTTTGATTAATCAGTGAACAGTAGTGCCACAAAAAAAGGAGATAATGCATATTCATGGAACCTTTCTCTAAGAAACAGAATAACAGTGAGTTATGAACTGTCACTGTATTGCAAGAAAATCTCAAGTGCCTTCTGAAAATGTTCTGTGAATCAAAAACATAGAAATATCGGATACTCTAAAAACGCTGTGGGACAGTCAAAGCAAGGCTTCACTTTTTTGAAAGTTGCGCCATGCCATTATCTATGGAATGGTAATAAAAATTCTGCATGCTACTGTGTAATTATTTTTGTCTGAGAATGAGGTGTGTTCGTTTTGGAATGAACAGTGTTGTTGGAATAGAAGAAGAGCTGAGGCGTACGGATGCGCATGCCAATATCTTTTCTAAACTGATCCTCATGCACATGTTGAAGACTAGTATCTACTGGACTTTGTGAGGCTGTATATTCAACTAAACAAGTTTTCCTCACAAAATCATGAAAAAGTATTTGTTGTCTGTGTGCAGAAAATTACCAAAAATAATATTAAGTCAGCCTTTTAAAGTAACTATTAGTATACTTATAAGCCAAAATTACCTTTCATTACTTTTCATACTAGCAATTGATTCCTTTTCAACTATTTATGCATAGTACCCATATAAAAAACTATGACAAAAAAAACACTAATAACTACTTTCACTAGTTTTGTTTTTAAACAGAAAGTAGTTGTTATGAACAGATTCAATTAAAAGTAATGTTTTTTTGGCTAAAGAAACGATTGAAAGTATTTAATAGTGCTGTTTTTACCCGAATAGTTCAGTTACTTTATTAATAAAAATTACTTTCACTTTTAAATATACTAATAGTTGCTAAGAAAGATTCACTTATTATTACCTATAACACTTTTTGTACGTGAGAAAAAAGTACTTTATGGTAAAACGTATACGACACTAGCACATATCGTCGCACGACATTTCGTCGCGTTCACTTCGTCGCAATCATTTCGTCGCACGATCACTTCGTCGCAGAAAAATTCTTTTCGTTCTGTTGTCCCTATCTATTTGTCGCTTCTCTCTTAATGAATTTTTTTGTGTATAACCAATGGAAAACTTATGAGTTAATTTCTGTGTAGTTTG